CCCGGCCCCTTCCCTTGCGCTGCCGCCGCGACTTCTAGCGGGCAACCCCTTTGGGACTGGCAGGCTGGTGGTGCCCGCACTCCAGCGGGGTCCCAGGCGGAGCGGCGGGCAGCAGCAGCAGCAGCCCTCGAAAGCCCAGCATGGTAATCTGCCGCTGGCTCTCCCCACTGTGCACCTTGCACGCCCGGCAGCCGAAGCAGGCAAGCCCTGGAGTTGGTGGCGCTGCGGCGTCTCCTCCGCGGAGCTGACTGGGCCGCTCCAGCTTCCCCGCCCAGGGCTGCGGCTCTGAGAGGCGCGGCGGCGCTCAGCCCACACGTGGCGCTCCTGTGGGATGGGGGCGTGGAGCGGGGGGAGCAGGCTGAGAGGTGACCCCGGGCCATGTGCCGTGCCGCCGCCCAGGCCCGCTCCCCGCGCCGCAGCCTGGGAACTTCGGGGGGGCCGCCCACTTGGCGGCCTAGCAGCACTGCCTCCAGAACAAAGGCCAGTGTTGCGCCCACCCGGTTAGGGTGGCAGGGGGCGCAGTTTGGTGCCCCTGAGGGCCAGCGCGCCCTAGGTGAGCCGGCCCTGCTGACGGGCCGGATAAATGTTTTCGGCGGGCCGCATGTGGCCCGCGGGCCGTAGTTTGAGGACCCCTGGTTTAGATTTTTAAACCGCCCTCTCCTGTGCAACAGGGCTCAGGGCTACCGAGGCTAAATGCTTTTCTCCTCTGCTGTTTTGGTGGGCAGATTCCAAGGAGTACCTTCCTCAAAATGAGCATGGGCATGTGGGCCTGGGGACAACTGAAAACATTATCCCCCCCCAATGTTGTCAGATCTTGGAAGCTAAGCTAAGTTTGTACTTGCACAGGAGACCACTAAGGAAGATTCTGCAGAGGAAGGCAATGGCAAACCACCTCTGCTTCTCACTAGACTTGAAAGCCTCTTGCTGAGGTCACCATTAGTTCGTTGTGACTTGATGGCACGTACATAGTAACCCAGTCCCGCTCCCGGCCGTGAGCCTATGGAACTCCCGGCCACTGTAAATAGCCAATCACTTGTGCGTGGGTGTGTTTAGGGTGCGGGGTTTGTGCACATATAAACCAGCCTGCGAGCTGGTTACTCTCGTCTTGTTCCTGATCTAATAAAGTATGCTAAGCTGAAATCACTCTCCGTCTGCGTACTTTTCACCCCCGTTTTGTTTGATTGTGTGTTGACTTCCCCTTTGAGGGATCTGGGGGTATAGCCAGTGATGGTTTCCAAGCTTTCCTTTGTTTCTATGCATTTCCTCCTACTGATCCCGATCTGACTTTAGATCAAGATGGGTAGCTGTGTTAGTCTGTCGGTAGCAGTAGAAAAGAGCAAGAGTCCAGTAGAACCTTAAAGACTAAAAAAAATGTGGCAGGGTAGGAGTCAGTGTTTCCTCTAAGCTGAGTGAGTGTGAGCTAGCTCACAGTTTTTTTTAGCCTCCAGCTCACACATTTTCGTCTTAGCTCAGGAAGGAGGGCTCCAGAGCACACTAATTTATGCAGCAGCCAGACCGCTCGCCTGCACCTTTAATGCCAGTAGCTCGCAAAGTGGCATTTTTGCTCACAAGACTCCACAGCTCAGAGGGAGCCTTGGTACGGGTGTTCGTGAGTCACTGCTCGCTTCTCCAGACACTTCACGAGAGCTCCTACCCTGCCACGGATTTTGTTCGTCTTTAAGGTGCCACTGGACTCTTGCTCTTCTCAACTGGTCTGACACTTTTGTCTGTGGCCAAATTTCCTCCAAGACCGCTGGGACAATGCTAGAGAAAGAAAGGTGCTTCCGGGAAATGGGCAGGATTTGGGAGCTCGGCTGGACCTTGCAGAGAGGAGAGCTTGTTAGTAGGGCTATCAACTCTGGTATGGACAATTCCCGGAGAATTTTGGACTAGTGCCTGGGGAGGGTGGGGTTGGGGGAGGGAGGGGATCTCAGCAGGGCACAATGCCTTAGTGTCTACCCTCCAAAACAGCCTTTCTCTCCAGAGCCAGTTTGGTGGTTAAGTGCGCGGACTCTAATCTGGGAGAACCGGGTTTGATTCCCCCACTCCTCCACTTGCACCTGGCTGGATGACCTTGGGCAAGCCGTAGTTCTGATAAGGGCTGTTCTTGAAAAAGAGCAGTTTCTGTCAAGAGCTCTCTCAGCCCCACCTACCTCACAGGGTGTCTGTTGTGGGGAGGGGAAGGGAAAGGAGTTTGTAAGCCGCTCTGAGACTCCTTCGGGTAGTGAAGTGCAGGGTATAAATCCAATCTCTTCTCTTCTTCTTTTACCTCACAGGGTGTCTGTTGTGGGTAGGGGAAGGGAAAGGAGTTTGTAAGCCGCTCTGAGGCCCCGGTCACACGGGGGGGGGGGAACATGGCCAAAGCACGGCTTTTCTGAGCCACAGCAAAATAGACGCATGGCGGCGAGATCAGACAGATCCCCCAAGCAGCTGCACGGTTGCTCCCCGGCACGATCAGATGCTGGGGGGAAGCCACGGGATGGAGAGCGAGGCAGCCAGCTGCGCATGTGCGCACATGCGCAGTTTGGCCGGGAGCCTTGAATGCTGCGGAA